TGATTTAAAAAAAAGAAAGTTTGTCACACGGTGGGAAATTTCACAAAATCACCGGAGACTTAGGAAATGAAAGCTAACGAAGGAAAGTTCTTAGAATTCCCATTTTCGCGAAATCGCAAAATTATGCAAACTGAGTGAAAAGAAATCGGGAAAAAATGCAAACGATATGTCACATTCATCGCAACGTGTTGATGTGTTTTTAACGAGCTTAACTGTTTTGTGTTTGACGCATTTTAGCATATTCGCGTGGATCTTTCTTTTTTTTTTTTTTTTCTCGCGTCAACTCCTAAAGACTCGCAGTTGACGCGAACACCGACAGTTTAACAATAAGAAACAAACACTGCTTGGAATTTTAATTAACGCGTCAACAAGACGACGAACAAGACCTAACTCAACTGACATCAGTGCGTCCCTTCTCAAGACAGAACAACGAACCCTTTTTCTCGGCCAACTTTTCCTCCCGGTTCATCGACAAAGACCCCCAACCCTCCTTCTTCTTAAATCTAATCTCGTTGTCGACAAAAGACCTCTTTCTTAAAGAAACGCAGGCTGACTCTCGCGGCGACCAATAGCCAGAACATAATCTCACAGCGTCCACCAACCAGCAGAATCTCTTTTTTTTTTTTTTTTTTTCTTTTTTTCAGAGGAAAAGCGAACCAAGCGAAACGAAGCTGGCCCCGGTGAAATGAATTCTTGAATCGATTATTGCTCCGCGGTGAGAATCGCTTTGCAATCGCCGGGGCAGAGCAGAGACTTCTCGAGCTGAGAGTTTCAAGTACGCGGAAGCTACGTAACGTCAATCTCTGCAACGTGTTGCCTGCGTCTTCGCTAATAATTCAACAGGGCTCGAATCGATCCGGTTCATCGATTTGTATTTATACAAGACCGCTGGATGCCGAGGAAATATTGAATTCGAACGAATTGAGAGTCGAACTGAGAGAGAATACGGAGAGAGGTTGTTGCTTGTGTGAATTTCTGACTGGTCGATTAATTGACTGTCAATTTTTTTCAACTAAATTGCACGAAATGAATTTAATTTAATATTTCTGACATATCAAATTCACTAAATATACATCTTCGAACGTCGAATTAATTCTCCATGGAGATACGAATGACAAAATATAGCACGGAGAGTGGCGATAGCGAAAGGCGTTTTCGTAACCGATTGTAAACTGTTATTGGACGGTAGTAAAAACACGGTTCACGAGTTATCGTGGCATAGCTACAGCGCAAAATGCAGCATGTGTGACTCACGGTCAAGCTAAGTGATTCAAGAAGCAGCGGGCGCTCGATTCTCGAAAGACAATCGAAAGCCTCGCGCTTCTCTTCTCTTTCAGATCAGTTTAGACAATTCTAAACTTTGCAAAATATGACTAATTTCCTTGGAATCGTAATTTCCTTGGAGCATGAAACGTTTTATTTGCAAATTTGATTTTAGTTTTCGAACCTCAAGCGAAAAACTTGGGATAAAAATTCGTATTTTTTTTTTTTCTTTCTTGGAGAAAAATTTGTAGATTTCTGGAAATTGAGATACATTAGAAATTTATGAAATTACGGAATCAAATTCCCTGAAACTTGATGCACAGCGTCGGAAATAATTCGCAATTAAGTTGTTTTACAGTTATGTAAGCTAGATTTTTTTATTTCCTCGAATTGATAATTGTACTGAGATAAAGCATTTTCAAAGTTCTATGAAAAAGATGATGAATCTTAATCGGACCAAAATAATCTAAGAGGAAGACAAACGTGTTATGCAAAAGTTAGATTTTAATGGGAAGCGCACGAAGATAATATTAATAACAAGATTCGAACAAAATACCGGCAACCGTTCAGCTAAGGATGAACGAAACGATCCACTTCCTGTAGCACGCTACAATTTCCATTTAAGGATCGTAAGAAGAAACTTATTTGAATTTTAAGACACTTAAACTACGATCTCTAAATGGGACGTTTTTAAAAATCAAAATGTACGTATTTTTACAAGTTCGATACACACTGGTTTGAAATATATTGGATTATATATAGAAATTTTTTAAATAACATTAATGATAACCCTAACTGCGCAATAATACCAATTAAGAATTAAATATATACATACCTATACAAAAAAGTCAAAAAAAAAAAAAAAAAAACACTATTTTAAACAATACACACAAACAATTCCAATTTTAATTAAAATAACTTCACGTACAAAAATATTAGTGCAAAAAAATTTTTCAAATAACATCAATAATATTACCTAATTGCGCAGTAATACCAATTTAGAATTAAACATGTACACACCTATTACAAAAATAACAGAAACACTATTTTAAACAATGCACACAAATAATTCCAATCTCAATTGAAATAACTTCACGTACAAAAAATATTAGCGAAAATTTTTCCTTCGAGGAAACGACCGAGCTTGTCCTTTACACATAGCTTTCCCAAACGATTCTAACGAGAAAATAAAAGCCAAGGCCAGCAGGAGAGTCTAACGAACGCCCTCTAAAAACAAACCAACAGTCCCATGTGACCCATGTGGCCCGGTGTCCGAGCTAATAGACGTTTCACATAACCGCCTAAATTCTTGGACAGAGAGTGTGTAGCAGCCTACTAATCATCAATTCAGTTCTAACGGTGTCCAGAGACAATCGTCATAATTCACGATCCTGGCTCGTAGCTGGAATCTCCTCCTCTGTTTTCTCTCGTTCACTCTCTCGGGGCAAGCGCAGAGAGAGCGTCCCCGCAGCGGAAGACCTCTTACATCGAATCCATCTCGCTTTCCAGGAAAAACCCTCAATGAACTCGGCCGTTCATTGGCTAGACGCGTGAAACAACACTCTTAATAGGCTGAGAAAATAGTTTAAACGCGTGGAATTTGCGATCAGGCAGTCTGTTAAAATTGTGACTTGGTTTTTGGACGAGCAGGTGCGGAGATTGTTATTTTGGAGGTTAGACGTGTTCATACCGCAATGATCGGTGACGTTGCCCGTTTTATTAAATTAAAATATATATATATATATATATATATATATATATACTTGGGAATCTTTTCAGATTACAATTTTTCGGGTTGTATTAACAGGCTTCTACAGCTTAGCTATTTATCAGGCTTCTAAAGCATGTAGGAACCCCCTCTTATTGATTGTCACATTTCGAAACCAACGATTAGACTACTGTGGTTTTTTAATACAATTTCACACAAAGATACGTATGAAGAAATTTTTAAAACGGAGAAATTCCTGCAAACGAGAACCAGAAATTTGCGTTTGTTGAAAATTATAAGCGTACGCTTTATTTTGGATATTTTGTATAGTATTCTGGTTGTTGCATCTTTGGATTTCTCATAAAAATCCGCAAAGTTTACTTGAATACTCTCGGCTCTACGTCGCTAGTTTCTGGCCACTTCTCTAATCGCGAGTACGTTTCGATGATCGCCAAGCATTTCCGTTTCCATCGCGAAAAATTATGTAACACGATAGTTTACATAACACGCGTTGCAAACACGCGTTGGCATCTGGCGACGAATTTGTCGATTGAAACGGGGTCAATGTGTTGTTTGACGGGCAACGGAAAAGCTGGGAACGACATAACGAAGAAAAGTTCGGAACTGAGGGGAGACGTCCAACGACGAAATCTCCCGACAAGGTTTGCGAGCTTTCTAATAATACTATGCCCGAGACGATCGATCGGAGGCCGAAATAGAAAAGGCGAGGATCTCTCTTTTCGAGAGGAAAACACGTTTTGTTTAGGAGTATTTGAATTGGCTGGCGATGGCCGATCGTTCGAGATTGTTGTCGTTCCGAGATTTTCAGAAAAACCTTCGCCTTGAACTTCACTGTGGCACGATCGAAATAGACCACGGCGAAGTTTAATTGTCGTTTCAACAATATCAAGAGTTCTATTACGTAAAGTACACGGTTTATACGTGGCTTCTAATTTTGGGACTCGTTTGGTAATTCAGTCACTGTTACGTGTATACAATTTATTAGATGATGACGTTTCCTTGGGATTAGGTTTTAGAATACGTTAGAAAGATTCAGCTGGCAAAATAAACACGGACCGGAAAGCCTGAGAGTGTAGCTGTTCGTTTCAATCTGTACCTCGCGTATAATTCTACAACATTGGTCAGAGACAAATACAAAATATGAATTGAAATTGAGAAATCTAACCTGACGCTAAACTGTGATTATCAATGATCAAATGCTATCTCAAGTCGATATCTTTTTTTCTTTTTTCTTAAAAATTCCCAAACCCAGGAGACACAAGCTCTTTTGGACAAGGGAACTCGTTTCGATCAACCTAATTCATAGTGGTCCCGCACTAGGTCACGAATATCAATGACGTTCCAAGAGACGCGGAACAAAAAAAAAAAAGGGAACAACGAAACTCAGTACGTGTCAACGCACAATTTCTCATTAAACATCGTCAAACCACCGTGAAGCTTCACCCGCGACTTTACCTTGAGCAGTCGATCATAGCCTCGATCGATGCTCTAAAAATTCGACAGCGAAACATCGACCCAGCGTTCCCATTAAGCGTTACGATATTCTTACCGAGGCAGTCGTAGTGTCGCCAATACGACAATCGTCGAACAAAGACTGCCTGGCCGACAAACAGAGACGGTGAGACAGCTCGAACGCGCGATAGAACGAGAACGATAGATAGAACCTCTCTGCCTAACTCGCTCTATAAAACAACTCCATCCCTACCATAGACGCTTCCTAGTCGACAGAGTAAACAAACTCGTTTGACGAATCGAAATCCCGCGCGCGCCACCGAGGCCAGGGACGAAGAAACTATTCGAGAGCGGTATCTCCGTGTCGGAGAACGACGCGATTCCCGTCTGTATCGGTATCTCGAGAATAGACACGTTTGGCTTGTTCGCGAAGCGTTGCGCCATCCGACGTTTAAGAACGGCGTAGATGATACCGCTCGAAAAATTGAGAAAAGCTGAGGGGGAACGAGTGGAAGAGGCACACGGTGAACCACTGGCCCCCGGTTGCCCTTGCACTTCCAACAACAATCGTGCGTCGATCAAGCGCGGTCGGTTACCAAGTGTGTTACTTGCCTACTCTGCATTGTTTCGATCGAATGTTCCTCCCGGCTGCTACTATACGTACGTATAGTGATATATCTGTCTCTCGCTCGGCCCCCGCTCTCGCTGCATCATCCTTCCTCCTTCTTTTTCGTGCTCTATCACCGCCACGCGCACAAAACCACGGCTCTACATCTTCGCACTTCGATCCTGACCGCGTTACAAGGCCGCTCTCTGTCTTCTTCTAATCACTTTCACGGAATATGGGCCCCTACGCCGCGCACGGTCGGTATCGTCGCTCCCTGTATTCGTCGTGTACCGACGTGCCCCGACACCGACTGAAGGATCACGTACACGCGAGCGCCGAAAAAACCGTGATATTTCCGTATGTGCACACACTTGCGAAGGCATATAGAATGCACGTACAAGGGAATACGTACGTAGACGTGTACTAGGAGGACGCGCGTTCGATCTATCTCTCTGTGACAACGACCTTGATCTCGAATTCACGCTCTATCGTTTTCTCTCTCTCTCTCTCTCTCTCTCTCTCTCTCTCTCTCTCTCTCTCTGTCTTTCTCGCGTTGACATTCTCTCTCTTCTCGTCAGACAGGGACAAGGAACAAGTGGGCGCCTACGAATGTAGTTTTCCTTCGATGCAGTAACACAATTAGATGGTTCGAGCAAGGAAACCCACACGAATGCACGGGACGACGCATCGCGGGATGCCCCACACACTCACGCACATGCATTCATGCTTCTGTGGCCGCACACACACACACACACAGCTAGAGAATCGGTCCCTTCTCCTACGAAACGGAACGGAACGGAACATCCCTCTTCGTTTCGTTACACACTCGCCTCTGTCTCTCTTATTATCTACCTATCTCTCTCCTTCTCGAGTCTCGTTACTCTCTTTCTCCCCTGGTCGCACTCACTCGCGGTATATACAACACAACGTTAGCGAACGAGGAACCGAACGGGGCCCGTGTCTCGAACAGGGGGGGAGGGGGGGGGTTGGTATTTCGTAACACGGCCCTTTTCTTTATCTCGACTTACGACAAGTGACTGAGATCGTTGTCGCGGTGTGTGTTTAGTATCGGCGCTCCGTGCGATGCCGTAGGGTTTCGTTGACCCCCCACGACACACGACACACTGGCCAGTCGAAGACGAAGAAGAAGAAGAAGAAGAAGAAGAAGCGACACCCATCTCTTTTGTGTGTGTTTGGAGAAAGAAAGAGCGCAAGGAAGAGAAAGAAGTGTATGAAGAGAAAAGGATCCACTCGCCTGAACAGTGTTGCGTCCGAGGAGCCGTGGTAGCAACTGCCCGCAGTAATAGTCGTCAGCTGATTTCGACTGGCTGGCTGGCTGGGCAGTCAAGCCGTTGCTGAGGGGCGAGAGCCGAGGTACAACACCACGGTGGGGGTGGCCTTTTGGTGGGGAAAGCTTTTAAAGCGATATCAGGGCCGTATCATCGTACGACACCTCCACCTCTCGCATCGATCCTCTCCTCTCTTTCCTTCTCGCTGTCTCCCGAATCTGGAAAATCCGACGATCCGACGTTTTCGAAGATCATTCCGACTTTATCTGGCAATCATTCAGGCACATAAATTTGCCAGTTCGTTCTAGCGATTTAATAATCCAGCCACGCTTCCTTTTTGTGGACAAATCTATCTACCAGGGACGTTCGTTCGATAGGCGATGCCACTTTTTTTTTTTTTGGAAAGGACACGAAGATTGGAAATCGCGTGGGGTGTAAGAAGCACGAAATCGAAAGAACCGCAAATGCAGGAAGTGGAAAATCAATGAACGGCTCCGTGACTTCGTTGCTAGCAGTGCGAGCCACTCGTATAAAATATGTAGCGCGGTGATAATGTAATGCTTAACTCGTCGTTATTTATACAACGCGAGATATAGAACGTGGAATCACCTTCAATGGGGAAGCCCGGGTTCTACGATGTCCATCCCGAAATCTAATCGTGCAACTGTTAAGAAAATTCAATGAACAGAGGAATCGCGGTGAGAACAAATACGCAAAACGCGTATTTCGGGTGATTTTTATTTTTACGCTGACCTTCATCTTGACCGTTGAGAATTCACACCCGCACGCGTGCAAGGTAACTTTGGCAACGTCCAATGACGCAACGGAGATCTTTCGTAATTTAACGTAAGACGGCACGTATTTTTATAAACGAAGAGGTATCTTCCGAGAAGAACTCGACAAGGGGCCTGACGGCTCATTGATTCGGCGCTGAAAACGAATCGGTAGTGGGAGAACGCTCAGCTGGGCGAACAGCTGCTGGTCGTTGTTGCGACACTTGGAAAACTTCCTTTTTACCTGCTCTGCTGTAGGAATTTCCCTTCTTTCGTGAAAAATCGTAGCCGCATTCTATTTTTGGGGCTAAAAATCTACCTGGGCTCGACCGTCTGTACTTGGAAAAATTAGCTGAGAACGGCCCCTTTCCGTTTCTTAGAAACAAAATAGTATTTAGCTCGTAGCGACATCGCGTCAGCAAGATGGCATCATATGTAGCAGTGTTTCTCAAAATGAAGTGACGAAAAAAATCGATAGCCGAAACATCAAATCCTCCTGGCTACTCGTATCTTTCGCTCTTGTTTTTCCTTTCTTTCGATTGAAACGCCGCTACGTTCGTCAGAAATTTTCGTTGCTATTATTAGGTTAGGTCTCTGCATCTCGTTTAGGTATTCTACATTGTAAATGTCCGACGTAGCTGTGTCAAATACATACGTAAACTTCTGCCCCTTGTCATGTTAAATCGCAAGAACTGTATGAGAAGCACAGGTCTATAGTCTGGAGATAGTGTAGGTCCTTCCTACGTACCTAGTCAATATCTAGTCAATATCTTCGCGTACCACTGTAGATATCCAATAAAAAAGAATGCTGCAATAATTTCTTTAAAAATCGAATGGCTTCGTGTAACGTTTGCTCGTTGGATCAGAGCTATTCGTAAATCAAACGTAATCTTATCGTTGTTTACGAATGAGAGGAAGAGGTTATGGAAGCATGCGCGCGCTGCTATTACGCGCCGATAGGCATGCACGCGAACGTGCGTATAACGGAATTGACGAAAAATTAAAACGAGAGTGGAGTCCGAGGATGGAATAAAAATGGATTTTATGGAGTGAATGAAACGAGATTGGAATACCACTGTTGAACAGTGGCATAGTGGCGGTGGACGGGACGCCTGCGCGAGTCAGTCCTGTCAATACTGTTTGGGGGATTCCTCCGTTTCCCTGTTGGATTGATACGAGTCAATGCACGGCAGTAACCAACCGTACATGAGAAACTTTTTGTTTTCTACGACCCAGTATCGCATATACTCCACTTTTGGCATTGATTTCTGGAAACCCCTGTGCACTCGAAAAATAAGTCACCCCTTTGACTCACTTATCTTCTGTTTTTCTTTTTTTCGATTGTCCAAATCTTACTTTGTTGTCAGCTTTCCGAAATTTTTATCATCGAACTTAATTTCTGATAGGCTATATTGTTAATTTTTAACTAGAGTGGTGTGGAAAACAATCAGCTACTGAACGAGTCACTCATTTTCCAATCATTCAACGGAAGTGCGTGAACAAATCTATGGCCCAACCTTTTCAAATAAATTTCTCATTACTAACTCTTAATATTTTCATCTGGTGTATCACTGATGTATCGGACAAATCCGAAATCTATCGATTGCACGATTTATTTATTTTTTGTCTTAAAATTGCTACCAGTTGATTTTTAACAAGGGTAATTAGAGACAAAAAATTATATCTGGACGAAAAGATGCGTTTGAAACATGCGGAAAAAAATTAATGGATTTTTAATGTTCTGTTACGAGATATATGTACTGCGTAGAGACAGGAAGATAATTGAGCGGTGCAGAAGCACGAAAATAAAGTTACGATAAAAATGTAAAAGGGGAACTTATTCGGATATTTCGTTTCTTTTAATGGAAAAATTGTTAATGCAATATCGAGTTGTGAATAGCATTTGGTCGAATGTGAAAATGCCAACAATTTGAGAATATTATTTTCGAAGTGCGAGAAAATATCAACAATTTGGCAGTGCAAATAATTTATAATTCGGTTTAGCAATAATAAGAAGCGAAAAATAGAGAAATATATTACGGGTCGTAAGTTGTTGATGATTCACAAAGGTGAATCTAAATATAATTATGACAGTTTAATCTCGTTATAATATTAATATTTTTCAAAATGTTTCGTATACATATTATATTGCGTATAAACAGAATATTTGTTAACAATAAATGCGAGCATAAAAACTGAATTGCCCTTTGGCATATCCTTTGCATCATAAGCACTGACGTTTGCATTTTGGCATCTATTATCATGCATAAATTATAATTTGCTACGAATTTATATCATGATGAAATAGTTTTACTATGTCGGGAACAAAAATAGAAACTTGAACGAAATTTTATCAAAGAAAGTTTATTTATGTGATAAATTAATCACTGACTTTAAAGCTTGATAAGCATTTTAATGGTCTTGGAAAGATTTTAAGCTAAGAAAAATTCTGACGTCGCGTTAGCGTTAATTATTAATCTCTCTTCTGTTTTTTTATTTTTTTAAAGAAATTTATAGAAATAATAAATTCTCTGGAAAGAGATAAAATTACTATCTCAGCCTTAAGCAACATGGCTTTATTGCAATAAATTTGATAACAGTCTCTATCCTCCTGTCAAAGGTGGTTTGTTTATTCATGTATTACATAGGATAGGTTTCACGAAATCGGTTACGATTGTAATTAATTTTTTCAATCATTCCACAATTTCCAATTATCATTAACTATCGATTCGGTTTAGCAATAATAAGAAACGTAAAAAATTAACTTGTAAAAAGTATATCTTTATAATCATAATTATAAATGAGTACAAAAATGGTAAAATTTGATTTTCTTAAAGGTAAGTATTAGTGCGTGTTCTGTAACATTTTTAACTTTTCCATAAAATTCCTCACTTTCTCTTTATCAACTTTATTTTCCCAAGTTCCACCAACTTTAAAATGGGATCCAACAATTACCGCGTCAGATGTTAAATAGTCTTTTATATTGTCTTTTGTAATACCAGAGCCAATAAGAACAGGTATTTCAGTGGTTTGTTTAATCTCTACACAGCGTGATGTTTTTTTCATTACAATTTTTCTATAGAAATTACGATATGTCAAAATAAGAAAAATACCTGTAAATTCTGAAACACTAGCTGGATCACCGGTGGCAGCGCCTGTCAGTATTATTCCATCGGCTAAGAAAAATTTTGCTGCTTTTATTGTCTCTGATAAACTAACATCAGAAGTGATTGCATGTGAACTGTAGAAACAAAATGTCATGATTCTTACATTAGACTGTGAAAAAGTCAAGCAAGAAACAAGCACCCCTTTTCATGTATATTAATAGATCACCTATGCTTCTTTTTAATATCAGCAAAAATAAGAATATCATCTGCGTCAATCTGTTTTCTGTATCTCAACAAAGTGCCAGCACATGCATCCGTAAAACCCTCATCTGCAATATGAGAGAAAACAAATCCTTCTGCTCTGATAAATTGAAAATTTGCTGCTTTTGCCACAGCTATTGCTTCTCTGTTACATCCAGCTAAAATCTATTTCATTCTGCTTTATTTCAGAGATTTCTTCTCTGTATGATTTTATGTAACAAATGTTGATTTGTACCTGTATACCACAAGGTATATTTTCAGATAATATTTTTCTTATTTCTGTGCAAATCCTGGTCATCATTGTTGTAATTTCAGGTGTTAAATCTTTGGGCCTTACATATGGAACGTCATGCATATTTTCCACTAAGACACCATCCTTAAATGTAAATTATAAACCACATTTATAAACCACAAGATTAATAGCAGATGTCTTGTGTAATTAAACTCACTATATTACATTCACTATAAATTACTGCTTCTTTTATTGCATTGCTTATAAGTTGTTTGGTATTTCCATTGTATGAAGGTGTTCCTAAAAAGTGTTACTTCAGTAATTAATAATAGTTCATGACTTGGTGATGTTCAAAAATAATTATTAAATGAAACGCAGGTCATTTATTGTTAAAGAGATATTTTTCAGAAACATATTTTTGCTAGATATTGTTAATCTATTGTTACTGTGAAAAACAGTGTTATTCACAGCTGATACTTTCTTCTTCTTGTACCAAGAATGATAAAACTATTAATAAATAATCTTTATTCAGTAGTGACTTTTTAGTTTCACCAATTTCCAACAATTATAGCAATATTTTGGATGCTTTATGTATAAAAAAAAAAAAAAACTCATTGTGTTCTTTTATCAACTTTAATTTTATGTATTTTTATGTATGACGGAAATTTTATACCAGGCAATGAACCAACGTGTATCATCCCAATTACAGAGCATCTTCTCTTTCTAAAAAGTTTGTAAAATCGTGACATTTTCGCAAAAGAGATCGTACTATTCTAAATTCACTTTGAATGATCTCAATTTTAATTGCAAATTTACACTCGAACTGTAACTGTACGTTGAATCCGAGATAACTGTACTTCGCACTTTAACAACGAAATTTTGATTGAATAATCAGCTGTTTCGTATCGAGAGCATTGTTCCATCTTTCTTGCGTAACAGAAAGAAACAGAAAGAAGGCTTGTAACAGCTGATTTATATAAATATCGTGCGATTTAATGTTTTATATTTTTCTCTATACTTGCATCATATATTTTTTTGGAAAAATACTTCGATTATTTGAAGAGGTTTGGAAATATTTACTAAGTTCAGAAGAAACTAATAGACTCATTTTTAATGGTTTGAAATTAGGTTATTCCTCGTAATCGATGTTTGAATTCCATGTAAATTATAATTATAAGTTTTAAAGAATAAATATTTGATCGCTTTTCAATCATTCCTATAAAAAGATATATTTAATTTCAAGAACATTATATCTTAAAGATAGAAATACAAAGAACTGTAGTATCGACCGTGCAAAGAATCAATGCAGAGATGAAATCAATTGTTCTTTACGCACTCTACAATTTAAAATTTAGAAACCATACCATAGATTAGATATGAAATAGATGTCACATTTTATCACTATAGACAGAACAGAATTTTATGGAATATCACACGTTTTGAAACATCTTTTGTATAAAAGATTGAAGGTTTTACTATGTTTTTTATAATTATATTTAATAAAATGCAGTCAAAAGAAACAATAGTATTTACTGAACATAAAAAAAGGATAGAACATATAGCATAGACTAGGACACCTAATATATTATTATATATTATTATTATATATTATTATTATGGTAAAAAATCATTATGTGACACAAAGTCCCATAAAGTATCATATTTTACCCATACCTGGTCTATGGCCTTTACCATAGATCTTGTCACAAACGACATTGCATCTTACGGACTATCGTGGCCCCTAATCTAAAATACTGACATACTAAAAAATCACTGGTTTTTTAGCGCATTCTATGTAAAAACGACGGCGAGTTAGGGAACTAAAATAATTCTCGTCACTAGTGCTGCGGCACAGACGAGGTATATGAGTAGACATTACATCTTACGGACTATCGTGGCCCCTAATCTGAAATACCGACATACTAAAAAATCACTGGTTTTTTAGCGCACTCTATGTATAAACGACGGCGAGTTAGGGAACTAAAATAATTCTCGTCACCAGTGTTGTGGCATAGACGAGGTATATGAATAGACATCTCATTCAATGTATTTTTTCGGCCCACGATTAAAGGATCTCCCTTACCATTTTCGTGTCACATTCTGCCGTACCGATTCACGCAAATTTTGCACTACATCACCGACGATCTCGTCTGTGTCTGTGGTGATCTTTTTTTTATGCGTATCCTCAACCGATAACATTGAAATTGATACAGATTTTCGCGTGATATGAAGCATTGAGTATTAAATTAACGCTATTTCATATACCATAAACTATTGCGAAATTCTCAGAAAATCTAGTAAGAATTGCGAAATATTTTGAGTAATATTTAAATAATAATTACGAATGATATTATAATTAGATACCATATATGTAACTTTATATATTATTATACTTTTTATATTAGATTTTTACATTATGAAAAATATAATTCTTTTTCTTCAAAAATGAAACTTGAAAATACATTTCTTGTGTTTTCAAGCAACGTAAGTATAAAACAATACATTTTTCTGCGAAATGCAAAATTAAAGAATATATTTCTTGCAGTTTCAACAATATCCCGATAGTTCATTCAATTAACCATCTCAACAATTTAAATAAATTTACCAATAAACTAAAACATTCTATTTCATTCTTATATATATAAAATAGTATATTTCTTTATAATGCAAGATTAAAAAATACGTTTCTCACATTTTCGAACTTCTAATTCCACCAACATTCCCATAATTTAGATAAATTTACTCGTTATAAAATAAAACAAATTATTCTTTCACAAATTCCGCCGTTCAAATGACCTTAACACTATTCTCCTAAATGGAACTCTCAATATTCAGATTCATCCCACTCGTCGAACGACGGCTACCGTTCTTTAAAAGTCGCCGATTGCCTCGTTCCAATTTTTCCTCTTCAATTTCCCTCAATTTTCGTCCTTGTCTTTTCACCTCTCTCAACGTCACACTCTCTTTCCCAGTTTTATCCACCTGTTAAACGAAACTGTTTCAGAAGGGTTGTGTACCCTCCCTCAGATATTCATTTTGACATGCGTTCCGCGTTCCCTATGTGTTCCCAAGCGTCACGCGCGCATTTCTTCCGTCAGTCTGGCTCGGTCCCTCAGGCGAGAGTGTTTCGCGAATCGCGCGTTTATAATTCGCTCGATTAAGCATCGTTGTAACAATCGAAATCAGTATTTGCAAATATTTTCAACTGAAGATAAATTGAAAGTATGTTGCGACATAGAAAGTTGAAGTTGGAAAAGTGAATGTGAAATCGAAGACGCGGTTAATTGTTTGTCTATTACATTGAAATTACTAAAATTAAGAATTCGACTGTGGTCGATTATTTGCGAAGAATCGAGTGTGTTTATCGTTTATCGATTTTACCAATTTCCGGTAATTGAACAATTGTCCTCGAGGAGTATCCAGAGTGTGGAAACTTGATTATTATCGATTTTCTAAATCTGTGATTAACGCATCGGTTATACCGAACAATTAAATTCAATTTTTCTCTATTATTTAAAAAAGAAAAAAAACAGTTAAAAATTTCCAAGATTTTCAGTCCGACTTAAGTTTCAAAGTCCAGTAATTCAGTCTATTTAATTCGAGTCAAAGTAAGATAAAAATTCAACAATCCGAATCCGAATTTTGTCAAAATAAACTCGGAGGCCTTGAAACGAATGAATATAAAAATATAACTGATCCAATCTCTCGTAACGGTGTTCGAAAAACTTTTTCAACGCGATAACAAATAAAAATATCTCCGAAAAAAAAAAAGGAAACAAAATAGTGGAATAGCGGCGAGATTTGCACAGTTACATTCGGATCCCCGTAGTGTTGTTTGCAGTTTGAGTGTCGATCAACAAGTAGCCTGGTGTAGGAGGCGATGTATCGCGGTGCACAGTTCGGGATTCGAGTACTGTGAAGTGGTCCAGGTTAGTGCATGGTTCTCCACGCAGCGAGAGAAGTGACATGAACGTAATTACTCCTGGAGCTTCTGCTGGTCTTCTTCTGGCCGTGTATGAGTGACGTGTCGACGAGTGACTGCGACTGACAATCGACCAGGATATACCGATAATCGATCGTGCTCGTGTGTTTACATAACCTTATTGACTTTCATTATCGTGTTCTCCAACTGATAATAATTGGTTCACGCGTTTGGACATCAATAAACAAGGAGAACATCGAAACCTCTCTCCTAGATCTCAAGATGCTTAGATTCTGTTGAAATGGTCCAAAGCTAACACTGGTGAAGAAGGAGTTACAGACATTTTTGGAATTAATCGAAGTGTGATTCCTTGGAAACAAGGAAGAAATAGAGAAGACAGAAATTTAAAGAAACGACGAAGAATTGCAATCTTGGAGGCCTGAAAAGGATTTAGGACCATGACAGGGAGCAAGCACAAACTCTTTTGGATTTAATTGGACTGTGACTTTTGGAAAAAAACACGTCTCGAATATTGAGAAAGTGAAAGAGTGGCTCGAAACCTAAGATCAACGGCATGAATAAGATTATTTATCACTTCGAGATTATATGAGTCCAGAATGTGTTACGATGGAACCTTATGTTTGAATAAATTGCGTGGGCGTTTTAAATTTGGCAGAGTACCTGGAAATCGAGTGGGCGGTTTGGATTATCGAACTGTGCAGATGGTTCCACTCAGTTGAAGTAGCGGCCTTAACATTGGCATTGGGTCACGCTGTTTTTGATTAAGAGGATTTCGATGAATTTCAGTAAACCACAGACTTCAGAGCCGGGCTTTCTTAGGGCTAATTTGATATACGATGACTGAATTTAATGAATCACATCAATCTAACTGTTTACTGATCTGAAATTTCACGAAAGGGGAATATTAAACGAATGGTTATTAATTGCCTAGTCAGTCGGAGGATCGGGATAATTGCTTCAAAGAAGCTGGCTTTGTTAATTTAAATAATCAATCCGCTTATAATTAATCCGGATCTCGTGAAATTGGAAATATCAGCGATCAATTGTGACTATAATTTACGTTTCTAATCATAAATTCGGATCTTCATTTCATATTTAAGTTCACATTTAAATACCAAACTCATCAATATTTGCAAATTAGCAAATTGTCAAATTTTGTCTAAAACCTGGCTCGAGATTTTTGCCTAAAGGCACAAAATCCTAACGAACTGGAAATTAAATCAGCGAAAAGTAGAAAGCGGACGAGTCTCGAATCATCGCGAGACAGACTGAAGTTTAATTAAATTAATTATTCCAAATTTCTAGAATTTCCAGAGAAAGAAAATTTGAGTCTCAAATCCATCCGAAATGATACACAAACACTATCAAAATCAAATCGCCAATGTTCGCGCAAGTCACGCCGGCATCGCTTCAAATTAATCACGGGACTGTGAACTTCGTCCATGGTATCGATTCCAAGTCAAACAGTTAAACAGTAGAATCCGACGAAGTATCGGGCAGGAAGGAATTTATCGATCACAGCCCACCTGTGGAACTCAGAATTCAAGGTTCCAACGATCAACGAGGAGATATATAATCGAGACGTTCGTGACTTCGAATCGCGTCGGCCTCTTCGCCCAGTGGAAGAGATCCTATTAGCGATAGGATCGAAAGCTTTGCCAACCCTTGCCGAGAATGCAGCAAGTGGGAAGATTGCGATTGCCCGAAGGGGCGTGCAGCCTGAATGGCGAGAAAACGTGGGAACGTCGGTGAGACTCGCCCAGATTTCCCGGGACTGTTTCATAGAAATTGAGATGTAATCAGGTGGATTCGCGAGCGGAAGAAGAAGAGACACCATAGCTCCGGGGTATAGGATCCTGGCGTTGTGGAAGCTGTGAACAAGGGTCTAACACACTGGCAGTGACGTCGATGCACATCTGCGCGCGAATATTCGCGTGGGCATGGGACTTTATTGCCGGCAGCACCGCGTATCCGATGCAGCACGTGAGTATCGTTGCACGATCGTTTTCATTCTTCAAGGGATCGTTGATCTTGGATCTGGATGTCTGAGAGAAACGCCATTGTCTGGTTGTCGAGAAGATAAGAGAATATTTGTCTAGTCTATATTTGTCCTATGTCGTCTGACAGTTTCACGCACTGCGATTGTTCTTTGTTGAATTGATATTGATACAATTGATTCTTTGATGACATTGAGAGTTTAGATATGAGTTTCGAGTAGACTAGGTTGTTCAGCAATTTTAGAACAGCGATTTAAATTGATAATTAAAATTTTCGCAAAACATTTTTTGATGCAACGAGGAATTCATGTATAATGCAGTGAAATAGTTTGCAGTGTTCTGCTTTATAGCTGACTATCCCAATACTTAGAGTTGCATAAATAAATTTGTCTCGATTAAGCAGTTTAAATACGTTAAAATAGCTACTGGAGGTGAAGTGCTTTTCAATTATAAAGCGATCGTAGTTACGCACTCAGAAGCCAAGGGAGTTTCTAGTTACGATATTCAACAGAGTTTCAAAATGCTTTAACAACTAAAGGCCACTCGTAATTTTTTTTAATTTTTTTCTTTCTCAAGGATGTGTCTAATTATGCAGGAGCGCGTTGCAGAGAAATCTTCAGAAATGTGTGTTAGAATAAATTTTTTTTTATATAAAATCAATTAATCGCGATTATATCACTAAAAGTTGCGTATTTCTATATTTCAACGAAAGCTACTTATTTGAATGTAAAGCATAAAGATCAATCGAACGTCTACGTTGCGTCGAAAAGAAAAGCGTAGTTGTGGATTTTTTCTTTTTTCATTTTCTAAATAATCATTTAATCATGAAAGTGAGCAATTACTAAATTGGTTCCAATACAAACTGAAAGTATATTCTCAGTTCAACGGCGATACTAGCGCCACTCGTGTGTTAACTACTGATGCACTTTGGTAATGACACATATGAATTCATACACAATTCGAAATGACTGAATGAATGAATGAATGAATTCATACGGAATTCCTTTGTAAGAAAGTAATAAACTAATAAAAATAAAAATATTCTATTATAACGTTATTTTTAAAGACCAGACTGGTTTTGGTAGAAAATTAAAAGTTAAAAATTAAAAAGATTTAGACTGTTTCTGGTAGAAATAGCTTCGTCAAAACGTCGGTAGTTAAATTCCTCATCTATTCCTGCATTAGCTTGTGAAAGCCTGTATTTTCCTAATTCTGCTAAAAGGCATCTCCGAGTTGAATATAGTTAAAATATCAACGAGAAACCATCGATTCTTTCAAGTAGTCTTATTATTAATAAAAAGTAAAAGAAAAAGAGGAAGGTACGCGTGACTTTTTATCGAATAGTCCAGCAAAATAACAGCGCTGACCGATCGATCGCGTTCGTTTTTTCTTATTCGACGCTAGCCAACTGGAACTGTTGCTCACTTATGCATTTTTTACGCTTGTCATGGTGCCTCGCACTGCGAAAAGAAAAAAAGAGAAAAAAAAAAAAAAAAAAGAAAAAAGGGAAAAGAACTTTTCTTCCAGCTTGTTCGAACAATCTGTTACACGTGCTCGAATGGAGCAGAGAACGAATCTGGACGCGGTTTTCTTTTGTTTCGTTACTGGACTTCTCGCGTTTGCTCAAATGGCACCGGGTCACAGCGATCGTGGTCATAATGTTGCTGAACTATAACAATAAGTTGCCTGCTAGCGATACGAAGCTCAATACGAATTACTCAGAAACCATACTGATCTGCCTAGTAAAGAGTAAATTAAAGTCAAAAGTCGAAAAGAAATGAACGATTAGAAACATTATTCTTCAAAGGTTTACATTATTCACATAATCTTCTTTCTGCTAATTGTACGATACTTGTGAAAATGACTTGCAACTTTTTTGAACAGTGATTATAGTCTTGAAATGAAACTGAAAAATTCATAATCAGTTCACGGATTTCGAATATTTATGCAAAATCATATCTTTGTAAATAGAATTAAAAAACTGTGGAACCTAGAGAAACTATTCTACGTATTAAATATAATAAGTCGTATACTTTAGTATATTTCATACAATTTTTATTTTAAATTTAAATATTGAATTTTTCCGATTTGCGGCATTTGTCCCAAGACTTTTGTGTACTTAAATCCATTATTGGCTTTGAAATTACGTCAACCAGCGTGACTTTCGTACTTCTTTCTAATCAATTAATTACTCAGATGAATGTTGTATTTCCATTCGTGAAATTCCACACTTTCGGCCGTGGATCCTAATTAGACGACCGTGAAAGTTCTCCGAGCTTTTCGGGAATTTTGGCTTCAAGAGGAGCCTTAATTAGCTCTTTTACCGTTATAGGGTCGGACGGATCCGCGAATAGTGTAATACAAATTGTGTAATACGAATCTAACGAGATTGCACAATTCCAAGAATAACTTTCGAATATATCCTGTGGTTTAATTTAATTTTCCGAAGTAATTGGAGATTCTTTTCCTCGAGAGAACGAAGATCTGTACGAAAGTACTTGAACATTTATAGAATTTCATTTTATTCATCGAGAATTATATATGCAAATCTATTTCCGCTGTTTCGTGCACTTTCGTACATTATATTTCCACCTCTGCACTTTGCACGAATGTATAAAACGCCAGTAGATTTATTAGCAAATAAAGAAAATATAAATTCTGTCAAATATTTTTTCACTCGTTATTTTTTATTTTTACCGTGTAACACGCGTACAAGCTTGATTATTCTTTTTTTTTTTCCTTTTTTTTTTGCACGTCGGACCGATGTGACTTCCACGTGCTTTCAAAGCTTTCAACCAATTAAAAGTCACTGTTAAAGTGGTTTTATTCAGTTACCGATTCATTTTATTTCGTGCTCCATCGAGGCAAGTAAGCAGATTTCATTATCCATTAATTCTGCTTCTATTCCGTTATGCGATTAAATTGCAAAATATCAAGAGATCGTACTAGTATACGAGAAGTAAATTTCCTACCTGTTCTCGAAAAATTTCTATGGCATTCATTTTATCTCTATTCTAATTTGATTGTCCTACTCCTTTCGACAGGTCACCTTTGAATAGAGATTCTGCCTGTGTTACCACAATATAATTACCCATTCCCTGAAATATACACTCGTCAAACTGAATCCCCTAAGTTCGATAATAACTCGATTGTTCTCGCGTATTTCTAACAAGCAGCACCATTCGGTTCAACCTGATTTTCACACATAATACCTTACACTATTGGACAATAACCGATTCAATTCGGAGAATCAGTGGTCAAATTGAGATTGGATAATTTAAGGAAGGTTTTGTCTATTGACGTCTTTGTCTAGAAATAGTAATTTTCGTAATCTAGGATCCAAAGTACTAATTTTTAACAGGAATTAGATTTTTCTGTTCGTAATTGTACGGATACTCTATTTACTTCAATTGCTATCTTATTTTTTTTGATTACTAAATTGTTCACTAATAATTAGTAATTTGTTGCGAATATTTATTGATGAATTTACTACTTAAATCAACATCTTATCTTCCTGCAAGTATTTCCTATCTAAACAAATAAATTTGCTATTTAATTTTTCATTCAAATTAGTATCTCACTTCTTTTCAAATTTCAAGCCTAAACGCTGGGTCAACGGTCGGGTAAACTAGCGCCACCATTGAGCTTAAGTTCAAACGGTCGTTTTACAGGATCCTAAGATCCATCGTCAAGGATCTGATCTTAATTCTCTCTCATAGTAAACCAAGTGACCAGAGTTAAACATCCTTGTTCTTCCAACCTTCGTCCCCGTTAAATTTATATCAGCCATACAAACTTGTACCATAATGTAAGAGTTACCCATAATTTCAGATAAACTCTGGCCAACGAAGGAAATTATTCGTTTAGGTTAATGATTGTTAGTTGTGGTTTTGTGTACAGTAGCACGATGCAAAATTTCGTTTAAAGAAAATTACAATTCTACAAACAATTTCCTCGATAATCCTTAAAATTTCTAATCGATAATTAACTGAAAATATTTCGAAAGCTATGATTTTTTTTTTTAAATTCATTCTTCTATTTTTCTCCTCGTCTAAAAAGCGAATGTAAATTGGTGGTTTGAGTGGCGAAGAGCTGTCTGATAAATCTCTTTCTTAATTGCAATTAACTCCCTACGGTCAAATGGAAATAAACAAAATTACACCGGCTCAGATCTGATATACCAGAAGATGAAATATTTTACAACTAAAGCGTATTCGCAGTGGGTGGCGAGCCAGAATGAAACCTTGATTAAGGGACTCGTTATTTGCACACAAAACGTACAGTTCACGTGGGGATTATTAAGTAAGTTCACGGCAGAGAAATATGAAGAAAAACGAAGTTGAATTATCTGCTTAAATGCTCTACTCATTCAATGATCTAAGTACATTAAAATCATACTTCTCGGGAAATTATTCTCTGACTGTTGAAACGATGCCTAAATACAATTTTGTTTGTTTCAATTCTTGTGGAGAGACATGAGGTTTTTCTTGACAGATAATCGACGAAGAAAGCGGTTTATAATATCGTTAAAGTGTTAATTATTATTTAGCGAATAACAAAATTCTTTTGCAACATTAAACTTAGAAAATTTTAATTTATTTCGAGAAGAGTTTATAGAAAAAGTGACGAAAATAATGGGTAATTTACGAAGAGAAATAATCTATTTTAACAAAAATCGCCTTTTTAATATCGAAATACTGTCATGGAGGTGTTTGTTTGAAAAATAATCAAAAATTTGAAATATTAGCAGAGATTACGGAAATTACTTTAAAAATGCTGAAATGAAAGAGCCTTTATTCGATCAATTTATCGTATTTAAACACGAGAATTATAATTAAATGTTTTCATTCAAGCTCGTTCCGTTAAAAAAAAAAAAAAAAAAGAAAAAGAGCTGGAGATTGTTAAAAAGTTTCGAGCATGTTCAAATTTTCATAGTGAATTCAAATTTTACCCATGTAATCGTCACATTACATAACAGTTCCAATG